CACGCTCCTATTAATTGCCTGGACCTCAACCGCCAGGGCCTTTTGTCTTTTTTATCAGGGTACCTCTAAGCATGAGGCCTCTGCAGCTTACAACCCTTGCTCTAATACTTTTAATTGCCTCATTTTTGTCCTTTAGATCAGCAGCAAGGTTATTATCTCAAGGACTCCTTCAGTGAATTCCCAGGTACCTCTACTATAACAACTCTCTATTTTCCTTAATACTGTTATTAACAGTAAATATTATGTTTTGTGTGAGATTACTTGGCAAATATGCATCTTCATAACTCATCTACTAGCTGCATGAGCACTGAGTTTACTTCTAATTTGCTCACCATGGTAGCTTGAGGGTTTTTTGCTATTCCTATGGTATGTTAGGCACACAATAACTTGTGATGAAAACGAATGATCAAATACAGAAGTATCTCAGAACACAAAAACAAATGAAGAGATTTTATGGAGTCAATTTTATGTTCAAGCATGAGGATAATCAAGCACATTTTACATGTAGTATATTCAATTCGTTAAATAAAATACAGTGGCAACAACACAGCTTAGGTTCTTTCGGAGACTGGCTCTAAAATAGAAAGGTGCGTGCAGAAAGTTTATTTATTCCTAATAGCTGTTGGATGAGGACTGGGGGTGTAGGTAGAGGGATAAAGCAGGATGGACAGAGGGGGAAGTTGAGGCCTATTGAAGTCCCAACAAATGTCTCAGTTGATCCCTCAAAGGACCTCAGAATTTAGGATAGTCCAACAAAGAAGTATTGAATTGAGGCACAGGCCAGGGCTTTCATACACTTACATCAACTAATCAATAGATATCTGCTACCCCGTGAAGAGGCATGAATTTGGGCGGATGCCTGTGTTTAGCTGGAGACAGTTTTTGAGGCTCTCAGCAGAACACTGTCAACCATCAACATTTCCAATAGCTGAGGACATCAGTTCCTCCAGATTAAATGTGTTGGGTTGAGGGGGGTAGGTGCAGATCTGTGAGGTAGATCCACTACAGACGACCAAAGGGAACAATGAATAATTTATAGCAAAGTTTTGTCTCAATCACAGACACAAATGAACTTGTCACTTTAAAACTGACATTCCAGGAAGAAAATAAAGAAACTGCTTTAAATGTCGGCTGCTGTATTTATGAATATCTCTGAAGATGAGAGGACAAGTAATAAGACCAAGAAAAACGCCTGTAAAATATGAGGGAAATTCTTTCAGGGAATTATCTTTCTGGGAGATATTTTCCCCCTCACTAAGTTAGACAAAGTGACAAACCTTTCACTGACACTGAATTTTACCCAAAATTGTTCATATTGTTCAAAGGTAATCATGCATCCACTGCATTTTTCAAAATCTGAGAACTGGAGAAGTATATCTTTAATTTTTAATACTTAACTTATATTAAAAAGAGCTTTTCAACTTACAAAATACTACTGATACATTTTCTGTCACAATAACCTCATTCATTAAATCACATAAACCATTGAGTGGTAATATGTGGTGTTGAGCAAGTAGCTAAAGATCTACTGGAGCTAAAGATTATTGGATAAGGCCTTTATTGCCCCCTGAAGTATTCCTGAAGCCCATCACAGTGCCTGAAACAACAGCACTTAATAAATAATTGTGGAGTAAATTTCTGCAAGGTATTTGCAGTTCTGCCTTATCTGTGCTTTGTACAGCACTTACAAAATATATGGTTCTATGTATTTGGATAACTTTTCCCAGTATATTACAGAAAATTAAGTAGTATTGACTTAAGTTTTTCTTGAGCAGGAATACTGAAAGTATTTGGACCAAACTTCTTTTTAGTCATTATCCTTCTGATCAGTTGAGATACAATAATTTGACCTTAGAAAATCAGATGGAGGAAATAATTTGTCTTGTGATCAACTGAAGTCTTTGTCTTTTGGGTAGTAAATCATCTTCCAAAATGTGTCCAAAAAACTTTCCTAATGCTAGAATACAACAGATAAATAAAGGTATATGGAAATCTGAATTTCTACTGTTTCTAAATATTGAAAAACTTTTGAGACATGAAATTAAAGATGATTCATAAACCTTACTTCTAACTATGGTAATAATAATATCATTCGTGTACTGTAAACTATTACATTGAGAGATGAGCTGTGTTACCAAAGACTACAAAAAATTAATGTGGAACACCTGATATTTGACTGTGCTTCCAGATGGAGGGACAGCTTGACAAATGCCATCATAATTTACAACTTTTAAAAAGTGTGGTGTGAATGCATTTGCAATAAGCTTTAAACAGCTTGGATTATTTACAGGTACAACTGTGTTTAATGTGGAATTTCAATGGATTTAAAATATTATTAGATTCAATCACTGATCACTGAATATAGGTGTGGGATGTGAGCAATGTGATTAGATGCCTTAATTAAATAGCTCAGAACAGGACCTATCTGTTTGGTGAAGCTGGGGCATGGTAAAAGAGCATTTGAATTTTATATTTGGTTATTGACTGTCACTCATTAAGATTCTACCTTTAGAAACACAGCATATTTTGGTTTTATCCCACTGTGCTGGTTTAGGAGAACAATAATCACAGAGAGGTAATATAGAAACACAGTATATAAGTCTTAGGAATAACTTAGATGCTTATACCCATAAAACAAATAAGGTATTAATTGCTAAGATTTACATTATAGTGTAACTTGAAAGAACACACACATCTATATCACTGGAAGTAGGAAAAGGAATATTGAAATTTACTAAGTAAATTGGAGAAGGGATAATATACATTATAATCATACACAGCATATATATTGTATATGTAAATAATTCCTCTTTCAAGTTGATATTTACAGTATCCATTAGCTCATATCTCTCTCTCTCTCTCTCACACACACACACACACACACACACACACACAGACATGGTATAAATCCTTCAAAGATTCATTTCAGTAAGAATATAATATAAACTCCTTAGTGATGTTGGAATAACCTGCTAAATTCTCTTCTTCAACCTTCACTTAGGACATTTTTGCCCTGACTCATGTTCCAACCCCCAAATAATCTCATCCTCCAAACCTGTTTTTTCTTTTGCAAACTGTCTTCCACCTGTGCTCCCTTCCACTCACCCTTTCAATCTCAGAGACCTTCTCTGAGTCCTCCTACGACCAACAAAAAATTAGACCCATCTTAGCTGTGTTCTAGCTTGTAATACTCTACTTTTTTCTTGGTAGATCTGTCACTTTTTGGTTGCATATTTATTCGAAATGAGTTGTTTTAATATATTTCACCTGTTTAGAGTACACACTACAGAAAGAGGTCTGTGTCTGATTTGATTTTGTACTGGATACTCAGTGCCTAGCCTAGGAAGGAAACATAAAAGACCAAGAATATTCGGTGACTGAATGAACAGAGTAACCCCTCAGTTTGTTTAATGCACTAAGCAGTTCCTTTTAGGAACTTTAGTTTCACTTTACCATGTGTTATTCACAATGTTCTTCTAAGCGTTTCACTTAGTCACATTATCTGTCAATGAATTTCTAGTTAAAACATGTCAAATTTCAGGAAGTAATGTTCCAAAATCAGGTGTTTCTGCATCTCCCTGTAACAAGACCTTTTTTACCTTCAAAGTCACCTATATCCTTTGGTAGATACACACACACACACACAAATACATATATATAAAACATGTATTTGTATTTTGAAAATGAGTAAAAGTGAAAGAGGAGTGATTTCACTCTGTGATATTGTGTGACATAGCCAATTAATACTTGAAATCTCAACCCCGCCTAGAGAGGAAGTAAGAGAAGTTGGAAGTCCAGTAATTTGGACCATGATGGATGATGCAGTGAAATGCAGCAATGAAAAGCGACCCCAGATCTTTTCAAGACATTGATTCCTTAGAGCTTGGAGAAGTATCACATGAGGGTGTGAGGAAAAAAATAAAAGCCAAGCATATTTAAAGATTACTACTTAACATACTGATTCCACATAATAATGTTATTTGATTCAAGAAAAATGTAACCCATCCTTTGTAAAATCTAGTTTCTGGAGGGTATCTGATGGCTTTTCAGAGATGCCTTCTTCAGCCAATCAAGGAACACACACTCATTTTTCTGAACACACACCATAGTAATTCTGTCCATTTCTGCTTGTAGCTGTCAGTCAGGCGTCATATTTTGTTTTCTCACTTCCTTTGACTCTCATCTCAGTGACACTGATGTGTGTTCTTGAAGATTGTATCCTGAGAACCTAACACAGTGTCGGCACACTGAAGATGCTAAGTATGCACTGAGTAAAAGCATAAATGAACTAATAATAACAGGGGAAAAATTTGACTTCAAGGTGATCATGATCCACCAAGAGGACAAGGTGCCATCAATGCCTTCACAGAAGTAGAAAGCATGATGTAAGAACAGAGGAAGATGCACCTGACTGAGACAGAAAAAGAGGTTTGGAGTACAAATGTCTTCAGAGATGAGGTGAACGTTTTCTGCTTTGGGACTACCTCTAAATGAAATCCCTCCCCTTTTCGCAGCAACTTGTAGCTCAGAACATAAAGAACTCTTCAAAAAGGCCCACATTTTTATATCAGTACTTTTTCCCCCTTTTTAAGCAGCCATGGAATGTAGTGTCCTGCAGAACGCAGCCTCCACCGTTTGCCCTCCACAGCACTTACTATCCGCGGCTGGGGCTGTGGACACCAGCGTTCGCCTCTTCCCGCCCCTGGGGATGATGACCCGTGCAGTAGAATCCTCCCTGGCACCCCCAAGCCCTGCCCGCGGACTTGCTGGCTGGAGGAAGCTCTCCTTCAGCCTTGGGGAGTTCCACTTGCCTTTATGACAATGTTTCTGCACCTCGCAATGTTCACGGGAGAAAATAAGCAACTGTGCTGCTTTGGCGCAGACTGTTTTTCCCTTGAATCCTGGCGATCCCTCACATCTAGCCCTCTTCCACCAGCTCAGCCGGCACTGCGCAGCTCAGAGGGCAAAGGCCACCTTGTAGCTCGAGCACGCTCTCCTACCTGCGCAGGAAAAACACCCTGGGCCCCAGGACTAGAGTTTAGCCCGGCCTCGCGGACGAACACGCAGCTCCGCCGGGGGCGTGGCCTCCCGTCCGCCCTACGCCCCGCCCCCGCGGGGGCCCGCCCGCCCCCGCGCGGCCAGCCGTAGTTTACCACAGAATCTCCGCCCGTGCTCCAGTAAGCGGTCCTCTCGGAGTCTCGTAGCCAGAGAACCTGGGAGGGGTTATCTGTACCAGACGCCCGCCTGAAGGCACAGCCATGGCCCCCGTGCTTAGCAAGGACGCGCCAGACATCGAGGTAACTACCGACCGCGTGCCGGCTCCGGGCCGAAGGTTCCGCGCGGGCCGCGCCGCAGAGTGGGAGAGACGGGAAACTTTGTCTCCCTCGGCGTGCGCGCCGGGGTGGGCCGGGGGCGAAGTGGGGGCCGCCGCGACTGCAGGGGGTGCCCTTTGCGAGGGACCTGTGTGTTTTCCTCAGAGGGGCTGTGGGAAAGTCCGAGGGCCGTGACTGAAGACGCTCTGGAGTTCGCGGGGGTGGACTGAAGGGAACGGGGCGCCTCTTTCCTACCCGTTCCACGCCGAACTTCCGCATCGGTCCCCTGGGTGTCTTTTTGGGACACCTGTCCACTGCCACCCACCTCCAATAGCTGAATCCTACTGTTTGCAAAGGCATAGAAATAAAAGATCTGTGTGTCAGCTGTAGTAGTCTCCGCCAGCCACAGTATTGATTATGAAATAATTTAACAGGGGAGAATGGAGCAAAGTATTGAGAACGTAAAAAATGCAGTGCCTTCAGAAAGATGCAAGTGAACTGGATTTTTCTTACCTCTCAGTTTTTGATTCCCTCTTGCAGCCCGCGCCTGTAAAAATGTCATCTGTCTTTATCTGAATATGGTCCTCTCTGAAATGACATTGCTGTTTCCTTTAAGTTCTTCCTAGTACGTTAATGAATGCTGTGAGAAGGATTGAATTATAAACAGTGGTTTTAGACATACTAACCCAAAGTCAGCACGTCTCAATTAATGCAAACTACTTTTTAGTCTTACTTTGTTTGGGGTTTTTCTTTAAGTCTCTTTCTCTGGTAGAGGGGTGTGTGTGTGTGTGTGTGTGTGTTTAGCCGTAATACAACTTTCTCAGTTGACAGGTTTAAATAAAAGTTTAAAGCCACCTGTTTGCAGGGTAGATGTTTCTGCCACATTTTGCCTTTGTTACTGATCGAAGAGACTTTGTACTCTCTTGGAAGGACAGTAGTGTTTTCTCCAGACTCCATAATTTAATTTGAAAAATCTGTTTTAATAAAAAGCCAAAGTATAGCATGTGGACCTCTGTGATTAGTTTAGTTGTTATTTTTTCTGTGGATAGTTTACTTTTTTGATATTGATCAACATGATTGATTTATTGAAATTTCATTTTTGTACAGAGTAAATGATTATATTTGATTTTGATCATATTTCTTTTGGTCCTTGTGACTTCCCTTCAACCAAATCTTTTTTTTTTTTTAAATTCAGTCAAATAGCAAACTTTTTACAGAATTCAAGCAGTACTGATTTCAGATCAGAGTGTCAGTATGGATGACATTTGACATTCTACTTAACGTCAGGATGGTGGTATGTACTTACTTGAGATATAGAGGTATCTCTCTTAGAATTTGAATTTGAAGTCAGTTCTTACACACACATTCTTGTGAAGAAAAAGATGCCACTGAAAAATTAAATGTCCAGCTTAATTTCATATGTTGTTTTAACCAAGAACATTTGAGAAGTATAATCCTTCCACTATCACTGTACTCACCTCATTCTTATCTTAGTCTTTTGGAGAGTCTGCTTTATCATGTGAAATGGTGGTTTTCAAACTCTCTCAGCTCTTATGTTGTTCATATATGCAATACACTCTAATTAGTTACATCTTTCACCACGCACAATACTTTATTTTTCCTTAAAAGTGATACCTATGATTCATGAGCTAAAATACCATGAAAGAGCATGAAATTAATCATTAAAATATAATGCAGTGAGGAAAAATACATTAAGCCTAGGAGAACACACTCAAGCCTAAATATGTCATATTGCTTTGTCAAAGTTCATTTTTGTGTTGAAGAATCAGAATGAATTATGAATGTTCGGTTTTCTATCAAATTAAAATGCTTTACTTTGACAGATTGATTAAAACCATTGTATAGAGCTTGATCTGAGTATGGTCATTGTTTTATTTTTCAGATACATGGAGAAGCAAGCAATCTTTTAAAATTTATTGGTATAGCCAGGGATTTAGCTCAGTGGCACCGTGCCTGCCTCGCAAGCGCAAGGCCATGAGTTTGATCCCTGGTACTGCAAAAAAAACCCCAAATTATTAGTGTGAAGAGATAATAAATGTGATATCAACACATTAAGTATATGATAAATGGGAAAAGAACAGAACATGAGGGTAACAACTCATTCTAATTATGATTTAATTGTTCCTGAGAGCTGTGTACAGAATCTTAGATTTCAATGAAGCAGCCAGAAAGTATATATTTTTGTTTCAGGAGAGAAAAGTTATTGAGGTATTGCTTTGTGTGCTCATTCTTAATTTCTAGACTCAATCCAATATCACATCATGATTGGAAGGGTTGGAAACATGGAGAAAAATCAAGTCACTAGATTTCAAAGCTGAAATATCCTGGGGTGCAGGATAGCCAAAGATAAGCAATACTTGCTAAAAGTACTAGTGTATAAAAATTCTTATAAACGTAGTAATGGTAGAAATTGCATGAGAAGTCAAGTCCTTTTATTTCACAAACACATTAGTGTGGTTTAGAGCCTGGCCTTAGGGGCCAGCAGTGTGAAATTGAGGTATAGCCACATCCCTTTTAGCTGTGTAACTTTGGGCATGTTACCTAGTTTGTCTAAACTGTACTTGCATAATCAAGTAATGAAAACAGTGATAGTGAGGATAATGCACAGATGTCACAAGGTGACACCTTGTAAGGAAAAAGGACAAGCATATTAAAAATGTATAGATTAAAAAAATTCTCATCCTGAGGACAGTCACTGTCAGCGAAATAATTAGTAGTCTAAAATTCATTAACAGGATCTGTATGCTTTTAAATGTTACTTTACTTGTAGTCTTCCAGTTTCCGATGTATTATATCTTTGTCAAGGTTGCATTTTGAATGCAAATTCTCCTGGAAAGGTTTCAAAGAAGGTGAGTATTGGATACTGGTCACTTTCCCTGACCTCAGCTGTAGCTTCACAGTACGCCTTCATTTACATTGACTTGCTAGCCAATACAATGTCAATACCTTCACATTTAAAACCGAGTCAGAATGATTTTCAAGAGTTCACTTTTGTTCATTACCTTGATCCCTCCCACCAACAAGCATAATTGAGAATAGACTATAAAACTATGTAGTTAAAGTGAATACATCTATAGCAAGTGTTTAACTATTTGAAATCTAGAGATTTTGGCAGTGAATTGCTGCTCTACTGCCCTCATTGTCATAAGCAGAAGTCTTGACTAATACTACATTACTAACTTAATGAATGTTAAGGTGTTGCAAGCATAGTTCAAATTTACCCTGAATAAAAAGAGGATTCTAGTCCATAGTCCACATAATCAAATGCATTTTGAGTCAATTAGAAACTGCTTCTGAATAATGGATATATGACTTCTTTTCAGAAAATAATTAAGAAATCATTGTACTTATTAGTTAAGAAAATGAGATAAAAAGCATGAATTTGGAAAATGAAAGCATAATGGAAATGACTTGGACAAAGGAAATTTTAAGGAAAATTTGAACTTATGAAAGACATGGATATAAATGGAAAGGAATGGCAAAAAATATTTCAGAAATCCCTTAATCTTGACTGTTTTTGTCCCTGGACAATGAGGAAGGCCATGGATCTAAAGGACAGAATGAATTTGACTTTGCAGAAGTTATAGGTTATTTATTTAAAACAACGCATGATGCAGTGAGTGTATATGTAAAAGTCCTTTCTTGTCTGTTTTACTGGTTGGACGCCATAGGTCTTGTGGAAATCTAGTTATAACTTTAGTTTTTAAGTCTTAACTTAAGATTTTTAGTTTTTAAAAATTGTTTTGTGAGTTTTCATTGTTGGACATGCCATTATTTTCCCAATTTTGAGTTGGTTTGCAGACCGTACTTAGTTTCAATTCATAATGTTTCTCCTTTTAAAGGAGTTTAATCTCGTCAGTAAAAAATGTTCTGATTATCTGGCTTGAAGAATCACTGATCCCATTCATAGCCCTTTTTATGATCAGGCACTACACATTTCTATAGTTGAACATTTTCATATGTTTCAGTACAAGTTCTAGAACAAGTTCATATGTTCCAGTACTTTTTGTTAAAGAATCCATCTCTTGCACCAATTCAAAGGATTAGTTTTAGTAATTCAATTAAAGACCATGAGTTAATGATTAATGATAAAACTGTCATTAGGGAGATATTTAGATTAGGCCTGTTTAGTCTTAATGATAGCAGATAGTGTTTATGAATTGCCTGTGGTAGAATTCACTAGCCTCCTTTCTTATATTCTGGGTAAAAATTTATGTTTGAAAGCTGAATATTAACAGTAGAAAATTAATAAGGATACTAAGAGGATCTAGCTTCACAATGTTGCGATAACTGAATGATCTTTAAGCAGTCATTCTTTAACTATTTGAATATAGCATTTTATCTAACTCTGTATAAATGGGCACCACTAAAAGGACTGAAAGCTAGACCTTCCAGTACAGTAAAGGTAAGTGATGACCATGAAACATTTCTATTACAAGATTTGTGATGCTAAGACGAAAAGGCAATGAGTGTGGAATAAATTGTCATAAAATATCATGGCAAAGAAAGTATTTCGAGATGTTTTACATCAGTGTAGGTAAAGAGGAGACTGAAAAGTAGGACTGGCCAATTTATTTTTCTACCTTATAGCTGTGTGGATTTAATGACAAATGCGCAGTAGAGACTTCTGGCCTTAAAACTGTAAAGACAAATGTTATTTTATTTATATCTCACCTTAATTTAAATATTTAATAAGGCATTTTTGGATTATAAGTTTACTTATAATAAGGACTTTGAATATGACACACTAAAATGTGACACATTTATCTTTTCCATTTCACTTCCTCTTAATTCTTCATATCAAGTCAGAGGTTAGAGTTTTGTTTTTTTTCAAATGTCAGGAATGTGGGTGTTCACAGATAATCTAGAGCTAGTTATAGTACTGAGATAACTCTTACAAGATTATGTATTTCCTGTGGTTTATAATTATTACTACTTTCATTGCTCTTAAGCAAAATGTTATA